GAGGGACAGAGACAGAGAGAGCCTGCACTAGTGACCTCCTCTCTTTTCCTTTGTTCCACCTGGCCCCCAGCACATGAAGTGGCGCCTCCCATACTCTGGGTAGCACCCCCACCCTTGTCTTATCTTCCTCATAAAAGTCCTCACGGGCAGGAGAGATGTGCTATACTAATTTCCAGGCCACCCTCAAGCCAATCAAGCTGAGAATCAAGATTCGCCATCACAGGTGCTAATAAATGTTGATAATGAGTAAATGCAGGAGGAGATATTCAGAATCAGTCAACAGAGAAAAGCAAAGTAAGTGGCTATCATGAACAATAAAGACATTTTGAAAAATTTAAATTGCATTTTATTTTATTTTATTTTTTTTAAACATTTATTTATTTATTATGTATACAATATTCTGTCTGTGTGTATGCCTGCAGGCCAGAAGAGGGCACCAGACGCCATTAAAGATGGTTGTGAGCCACCATGTGGTTGCTGGGAATTGAACTCAGGACCTTTGGAAGAGCAGGCAATGCTCTTAACCTCTGAGCCATCTAAATTGCATTTTATTTAATGACTTTTGTGTGTGCGTACGTGTGTACACATGTGCACACGTACCATGGCACACATGTGGAGTCCAGAGGACAGCTTACGGCAGTGAATTCTCTTCTTCCACGGCATGGGTCCCAATGCTTGTCCAGTGTTGCTCAGAACCCATGAGGAATGGTTGCCACTGTGACCTCAGAGAGCTGAGTGACCTGAGCAGCTCTGTTTGCTCTCCCAGGAAATGGCTTTTCCTGTGTGGGGCTGATGGAGGAGAAGACGGCCAAGCACAGAGCCCAAGTTCAGAGACCCAGTGATCTGGTGGTCTCACAACCTCCTGCCCTCTGTCTCTGTTTCCTCCCTTTCTCCATCCCTCACCTTGACTGTGATTTATTAAAATTATTATTATTAAAATCTAGTCTACAGAAGAAGAGGTTTAAGTCGGGTGTGGTAACACTTGTCTTTAATCCCAGCACTGAAGAAGCAGAGGCAGGCAGATCTCTGTGAGTTTGAGGCCAGCCTGGTCTACAGAGCGAGTTCCGGGTCAGCCAGGGCTACATAGAAAGACCCTGACTGAACAAAATACAACAACAAAAAGAAGGGGTTCCACCGTGGGCGTTCCCAAATGAGCCCATCATTGCACTTTGTCTTTACCCCCCACTCACCGCCCATCTCCACCCACTTTCTTCTCCCTCTTTCTGGGGCTCTTCCCTGCTTCTGTTTCCCCGTCACACACAATCCATGGCCTTCTCTCCTCCTCCTCCCCTTAGACTTCCTCCCTCTCAGATCTGTTTCTGTTTCCGTGTCCTGCATTCCCGGGGGTGTGCACCTGCATTTAACCAGATTCCTCACACGAGAGAAAAACATGCTGTTTGCCTGTGCTGTACGGTTTTTATCAACTTGACACGGAGTGGAGTCACCTGGGAAGAGGAACCTTAGCTGAGGAGTTGCCACTATCAGGTTGGGCTGTGGGTGTGTCTGTCGGGCATGATTTTGATCCAGGATTGACATGAGAGGCCCCAGTCCACTGTGGGTGGTGCCATCCCTAGACAGGTGAGCCTGGGGTTGTATTAGAAAAAGTATCTGAGTAAGCCAGAGGAAGGAAGCCAAGAAGCAGGGCTTCTTTTTTTTTCTTTTTATTTTTTTTACCCCCTTTCCTCCTCCCATTTTCTCCACATACCCTCCCATCCCACCCCCATCTAATCCTCAGAGAGGGTAAGGCACATTGCTTTGTGGAAGGTCCAAGACCCTCCCTACTGTATCTAGGCTGAACAAGGTGTCCATCCAAAGAGAACAGGATCCCCAAAAGCCAGTACATGCAGTAGGGATCAATCCTGGTATCACTCTGCTAATGGCCCCACAATCTGCCCCAGCCATGCAACTGTCAATCACATTCAGAGGGACTAGTTTGGTCCTATGCTTGTTCCTTCCCAGTCCAGCTGGAGTTGGTGAGTTACCATTAGCTCAGGTAGACTGTTTCAGTGGGAGAACCCAACATGGTCTTGATCTCTTTGCTCATATTCTCACTCCTCCCACTCTTCAACTGGACTTTGGGAGCTCAGTCCAGTGCTCTGATGTGGGTCTCTGCCTCTGTTTCCATCCGTTACTGGATGAAGATTCTATGGTGATATTTAAGATATTCATCAGTCTGACTACAGGGCAAGTCAAGATCAGGCCCTCTCTCCTCTCTTGCTTAGGCAGGGTCATCCTTGTGGATTCCTGGGAATTTCTCTAGAGCCAGGTTTCTGCCAACCTTATAATGGCTCCCTCAATCAAGATATCTCTTTCCTTGCTCTCATCTCTGTCCTTCCTTCATCTTGACTATCCCATTCCCTCAAGTTCTCCTCAACCCTCCCCTTCCCCCTTCCTCTTTCCCTTCTACTCTTCCCTTCTCTCACCACCCTCATGCTCCCAATTTTGTCAGGCAAACTCTCCAGGTGGGTCACCTTATTACTTAGCTTCTCTAGGATCATGAACTATAGGCTCAATGTCCTTTGTTTATAGTTAGTATCTACTTATGAGTGAGTACATACCATATTCATCTTTTGGGGTCTGGGTTACCTCACTCAGGATGGTGTTTTCTTTTTCTTTTTTAATTTAATCTAATTTTTTTTATTTTTATTTTTATGATGGTGTTTTCTAACTCCACCCATTTGCATGCACAACTCAAGGTGTCATTGTTTTTTACTACTGAGTAGTACCCTAGACTGTAAATGTGCCACATTTTCTCTATCCATTCTTTGGTTGAGGGGCATCTAGGTTGTTTCCAGGTTCTGGCTATTACAAGCAATGCTGCTATGAACATAGTTGAACAAATGCTTTTGTAGTGTGATTGAGCATCTTTTGGGTATATCCCCAAGAGTAGTATTGCTGATCTTGAGGTAGGTTGAATCCCAATTTTCCAAGAAACACCATCACCACCATCAATGTCATTTTTATTGTTAAACTAATATGGAACATCATCACCACCGTCACTACCATTTTTATTATTAGGATGCAGATTTCCAAGTCAGACGGGTCCCACGGGGATGAATGGAAATTTCTTAAAACTAGTTGGGATGTTCATGGTTGCCTGGGGCTGGTGTCTGCAGAGGTCAGTCGCTATGGCTCTCCTGGAATGTCAGACGCTGTCTTCTGAGTCAGGTTTCTGATGTGGGCTAGAAATGGCCTGGAGCCTGGGTCTGGAGTCTAGACGTCGTGTGGTGCTGTGAAGGCCATTCCACTGAAGTTACCGTCCACTTGAGGCTGGGAGGCAGTCTCTCCCTGTCCTCCAGGACAGCAATATGCCCCCAGGTTCAGAGTGGGCTGCAAACAGGCTGGCAGTTCCTGGTTGAGGCACACCCTCTAGTGGCTGTATGTGGGAATAATAGGCAGCCCATGGTGAGCGGTCTGGTAGAGGTAAGGACAGGACAGAGTAGCAGGAACAAAGCGTCCCTTTCTGTCACTGGATCAACACTGGGGGTCAAACAACCTCACCGGCCTTCTCCGTAACAACAGAAATGGAGCATTTCTGAACTTTCCCAGCCTCCACCAGGAAGGAGGGAGAGATGGAACAAAAGAACAGTAGTAGGCAGGAAGATACCTGAAGCCCTAGGTTACGGTGGGGACCCTGGGAGAATTATTTAAACCTAAAAACATTAGAAAACATTTAAAAATACCCAGAGCCCTCATTTAGGGGCAGAATATCCGGTCCCCCACCTCATGGTGGAAAGAGCATGGCTAGATAATTCCAGGCCAGAGACCTTCCCCTCTTGTCCTGTAACAACTATGGAATTTGGAACCTCCTGTGGCCAAGGATTTAAGAACCCCAGACAGAACATATCTGTATCTCCCAGCTACACACACACACACACACACACACACACACACACACACCCCTTGGGACTGTGGAGTCAGAGCTGGAGCTGTGGCCCTCAATCCAGACCCTGGAACTCGGTGCCCTTCCCCCTCCCCCAGCTCAGTTCGCTGCTCAGCTCGTTCATAATGTATATAGGTCTGGGGTCGTTCATAATGTATATAGGTCTGGGGTCGTTCATAATGTATATAGGTCTGGGGTCATTCATAATGTATATAGGTCTGGGGTCGTTCATAATGTATATAGGTCTGGGGTGGGACACTGAAATCTAAAGCTTTAAAAACACCTCAAAGCCCAGGACATGGCTGAACCTTCCAGATGTAGGCAATGGGCTGAGTCTAGCCTCGCCTCCTCTTCATCAAAAGGAGTAACGGACGCCCCAAAGAGGCAGATGGTTTGGCCCAGACTCAGTCTGATCTTACACCAGGGTACTAGTAGGCCAGGCATAGCCATGACTCAATGAGACCATGCTTTTTCTGGAGGCTTCGGGTTTCTAAGAAGTCGAATAGAGCACAAGTGGGGGCCTGGGCTGTAACTAACTCAGGAGGCCGAGAGTTTGCTAGGAGATGTCATCTTTTGCCTCTGGCTGAAGCTCTGGTGAGCTCCCCTTCCCCTCTCTGTCTGTTGTGTACAACCAGGTGTTGGCTATCTTTTCTGAGATAAGGCTCCTTACTGACCTGCAGCCTGCCTTTTGGGGCACACTGACTGACCAGTGAGCCCCAGGCACCTGTGTGTCTCTACCTCCCCGGCACTGTGACCAAGAAGGCATGCCATTATGCCTGACGTTTTTCATGTGTGTGCTAGGAGTGAAACTCGGGTCCTGAGGCAGCACAGCAAGCAATTTAATGACAGAGCCCCCAAGCCCCCTTCTGAAGAGGATCCCGAAAGCACTCCAAAGTGAGCCCAGTCTGTCCTGTCAGTCCCCACAACCCGAACACTCTGGTGGAAGCTGCCCCAGGAAGCTTAGGCTCTGCTACAGCGAACCTATGGGCATGGTAGTTCTAACATCATCTGATGCTCAGGAAGCCTTCATGAGTTTCTTTCTTTCTTTAAAAAATATCTGAAGGTCTCAAATCAAGAATGTATTTCAGGGGTGCGAACTTCTACAGAGAAGTGGGGAGCCAGACCTGGCGAACAGGGCATCCAGCTGTTCTCAGTAGGACATCATGGAGAAACACAGCTACAGGGTCAGGGGTGGCGCTGAGGACCCTCACCTGGCAAGTGTAGGGTGAGTGTGAGGGTCACTGCCTGAGGGGTGACATGGCATCGAGTCTCTCTTGCCTGTACCGCAGCCTTCTCCAGCTATTCTCTAATCCCAGACTCCTCCCCAGCCACCACGTGGCTCCTAGGTCATCAGCAGGGGTAAGGACAGACTTGCCAATTATTTGGTTTACCTGAAGGCTCCTCCCAGTGTCCTTCCTGCCTGGGGTTGGGGGAACCCCAATGAAAGAAAACACCTAGGGTGTCCACGTAGGAGGTGGGTAAGTGGGAAGCCATCCCAATTGCTGACCCAGCAATTTCCCCAAACGCCCTCAGGCTTCCTTCACAGACTTGAGGCACTAAGTGAAGGTTGGGTGTGTAAGCCTGTCGCTTCCCAAGCGGTCAGTTTTTCCGTGGGTATGATGGGCAGGCAGGAAGCAAGGTGGTGAATAGAGTGGGCGGGGCCAGCTCTAAACTCCCTTTAGTTTCAATAGCCTTTGAGATGAGATGAGAGACTTAGTCTCATCTCGTTTTTTATAGCAGCCCCACCTGACTCTGTGCATGGGTCCCCAAAGGCCTTGGGAGGGGGTCAGCTGGGGAAGGGTCATGGGCACTATGAGAGGGAGATCGGAGGGGGGCGCTGAGGGTATGTTGCAGGTACTTTCAAAGGGATGTGTTGGTGGGCCTGAGGTCACTGTCCAGCCAAAGGGCCCCTAGTGACTCCTACACCACCATCCTGAACAAGGGGCTCAGGCTAGACCTCGGGAGATTCTGGAACGCATCCCAGGTGGCCTCATCCCAGAGGCAACGGCTGAGTGCTCCCAGGACTAGTCAAGTCACACTCATCCCTAGTCCTCCTTAATTTTAACTCTGCAAAGGTGGGGTCAGGACAGGGTCACAGAAAGATCTAGAAAAAATGTTTGCTGAGGTGTACAGAGCCACATGGGGGGATATAGGCTCCGTCTCTTACGTGTGTCTGTGTACGGGGTGGGAGTGGACAGAAGAAGCGAAAGCAGAGCAGGAGGAAATGAAAAAAAAAAAAAGGTACATGAAGAGGGAAAGGTCCGAAGACGGAAACAAGGAATTCCGAAAAGAAAGGGAGGGGGAGAAGGAAAGGAGGTGAAGAAAACACGGGGGAGAGACAGGTAGAAAGAGCGAAGGATGTGGATAAAGAGCAGGGCAGGGGGCAAGGGAAGAGGCCACAGGGGAAGAAGGCAGCAAGCCAAGGGCAGAGGTAAGAGGCCAGAGGTGGAGAGGGGTCACTGTGAGCCAGGCAACTGCGGCCTGCGCTCCAACTTCCTGTCCTTGCGCTGGCGTCGATCCTTCCGATCCTTCCGGTCCTTCCGGCTCTTCTGCCTGGGGTTTCTCTCTGCAAGAGAACACAGGTCCATGGAGGTCCTGAGAGATGAGGGAAGCCCAGATATTCCCAGCAGGCTCTGAGTGCTGGACTCAGAGTCCCCCTGTTTTAAATTAGAGGCTGCAGGTGAAACTGCTCAGGACAGACTACTCCTTGGAGATTCCTAGGAGGATACTGGTTTGAGGAGGGAATGCCTGGAGCCGAGGTGGAGTCGGGCAACATCCTGTAAGGGCTGAAGGACCACTTGGATCAGCACCTGTCAGGATTTTGAATGGCCGCCCAGGGCTCCCCATGCCACTCCACACATGTACTACATGTTAATAAGGCTTCCTGTCTCCTTTACACAAAGTCCCTGTCAGCTTCCCAGCTACTTTCAGCCAGGGCCTGCTCCCACTAGCAGCCTGGTAGCTCGAGACCCTGAGATTTAGCTGCTCTTGGTGCGGGCCAGATGACCCAGAGAGTATTGAGTAAATCCACGCAATGCGAGCGAAAACTACTATATCTATCCCATTTGACAGGCAGGGAAAGGGGTTGGCTTCAGCTACTCCCACAGGACAGGGGGCTGGCTGCAAATCCCAGACCCAGGTCTCAGACAGCAGCGTGTCCCACCAATCCTGGAGGAATACAGTCCAGTGTGAACACTGGATCAGTCTCGTTTCTCAGATAAGATGACCAAAGGCTGGCCAGAGGATTAACTTGCTCAGCAGCCTAGAGTTCCTGGAACCAGTTCTGATTTCCCTTCAGAGAAGCTCATCTGGGCTAAGGCTAGCTGGGTGGCTAGTGGCCAGATGGCTTAGGGTGTAGCAGAGATCCCAGCATGCTGTCTTTAGGAGAGCTCAGTATCATGACAGGGTCCTCTGGCAGCCTTCTTCAGCAGCTCCTTTTTGGTCACTTTTTTTTATTAGGCCTGTCTGAGCTTCCCTGTGGTACTCCACGCTGCTTGCACGCCTTTCTAGGTATCTGCCAGCTCCCTGGAGCAATCTTCCCAGATGAGGGTATTCCCCATCCTTCTCCTATGCCAGCCCGCTGCCTATGCACACCTCCATCTACACCCATGCACCCTCCCACCCACCCATGCACCCTCCCACCCACCCATGCACCCTCCCACCCACCCATGCACCCTCCCACCCACCCATATACCCTCTCACTTATCTAGCCAGGCGCTCACAAAACTACCTACTTACCATCCACTTACCCTCTCACCCGTGTCCTCCAACCCATGCACCCACCAACCCACCCATCTACCCACTCACCTAACTCTCTACTTACCCACCCATCTGCCTACCCGGTACTCACACAACTACCAACCTTGGCACTCCCTCACCCATCCACCTCTCTTCCCTGCACCCACGCACCTACTCATCCCACACAGTGGACATCTGGGTCCCGCTCCAGCATCAGAGTCAGCCTCACCCTCCAGAGACCACAGACAGCTGCAGAAGGAGCAAGGCTCTCCCCTAGCGGCGTCAGTGCTATGACACGAGGTGACACGAGAGGATTCCGAAGGAAGGGGACCTCGGAAAACCTCTGAGTGGAAAAGGTGCCAGGGCTGAGGCACATACCAGCAGGCTCTGCAGGCTTCTGGGAACGCATACATACACTCAGCATACACCACTCACAGCAATAATCACAGAGTGTCTGCGGCCGCAGCTCCTAGGGTCACCATCTAAAAAGGGCTCTCCTCGAGTTTTGGGTGTACAGTCTCACCTAGACTCCACTCTCCGCCCCAACTGCCCATTGTGTATGTGTGGGTAGTGATGGGGGTAGGAGAGTCCCTAGATTCAAATTCTGCCTCTGCATAGCCCCATCTGTGTGTCCTGTGACCTGGCTTCATGTCTTCACTGTTGACTATGACTTAGAGTCTTCTTTGCCCACTGATTAACGTTTGGCCTCTAGGTTCACCTACTCTTGGCTATGTGATCCTGGGCTCTGTGGGCCTCCATCTCCTAAAATGGGATAGTAACCATGCCTACATCATAGTCACTGTGCAGATCAAGTGAGCCAGTGACTATAGAGAATCTAACACACCATGCTCATATCCTTAACATTGCTTTTTCATGCCGATGCCTCTCATACTTCACAACCCTCTCTTTTGGGGTTCTTAGTGGTCTCCATTGGAAATCTGTGGTCTTGTCTGCCCAAGTGAAGGGGCTCCTGCGGTATTTAGTGGGGTGGTATAGGCATAGTCTCCCATTCTACTCTTGCATAGCTGACAACATTGATTCTTCAGAGCTGAGATCTCTTCGCTCACGTGTGCCTGGGGTTTTAGAGTGTTTCACTCAAATCTCTATGGCAACCTCGGCTCTCTGGGACTTGTCTCCAACTGATCCCTGGATGCTGGGTCAAGCACCTGCTTCTTGGCATTGCTTCTCCTTTGTATTACAGGATGGGCACTGCACTGCATTGCACTCCCAACCCCCACTTCTTGGGCTTTCCCAGGAACTCCACTAGAAACAACAGCTTGTTCCAAAGTCCTTGCAGCATAGGGGTCTGGGCACTGCAAATCATTCTTCCTACTGTATTTGGGACCCTTCTCTGTAACTACTTCACAGGGTAATGCTTAGTTCTCAGGAAGGGCTGGCAGGCAGAGGCCTTTCTGGTGGTCTTGCAGATGCCATCTGTGGGGATGTCTCTGTCTCTGGACGCTAGAAATCACCCATGGGTGTTTCCCATGCAGTCCCGCAGGCTTAGTACTCACCTCCTGGGCAGGGCCTCTTTATAGAACATTTTCTAGACTCTGATAACACTTGGCAACTCGCCGTCCCCTCCTGCTTGCCTGGGCCAGTCTCCCGCACCCGGGTTTCTAGGCCCCAGCCTGAGCCGCAGGTCTTCCCATTGTGTATGCAGGGACTCCAGCTGCCCCATGGGCTTGGCTCACACTCTTCTGTGGGTGAAGGGAGACAGACAGGTGAGTCAGTTGGTAGTGTTTGCCTGTTGGCTTCAAGGACCAGGGATCTGAGGAGCTCTGCCTGCAAGGGACTCGGTGTATTGCTGGATGCAGAGAACACACATAGAGACCACTGCTTGCAGGAGCCTGCAAAGACCCCTACCAAGGCTGTGCTAGAAGCCAGAGCCGGCTCCTGCCAGCAAAGCAGAAGGTTTCCCAGGGGAGGTAACAGAGTTGAATTAAGCCTCCCATGGCTGGCATGATCTGAGAGCCCAAGTGGCTGGAATTCAGAAAGGGGCAGGGATTAGGGACAGACACAGAGGTAGCTGACTGCTAAAAGGTCCTCAGGATCAGGGTTCTATCTTTGAACTTGACCATATGCCTTTTAACAACTGTAGAAGGTCAAAGCCACCCGGTGCTATTGTGAGGGACAATGAGGTGATGGACAGAAAGTTCTCAGAAAAGGAAATTTCAGAATCATTCCAATCACTTCTGAGCAGGAGGCAGCACCCAGCTCTGGGGACAGTGAATGTCCCACCTTGCAGTCTTAGGTGCTGAGGCCTGGAGCAGGAACTGGTATACAGAGCAGGTTGGGAACAGGTCCCTAGACCCGAGGTACCTATGCTGCCACTACCCAGTGGAGTCACCTGACAAGTCAAGACTGATCACTTACTGTGAGACCCAGGGTTGTATGTACAGAAGGGCAGTTGCAGAGGACACACCCGCCTGCCTCCCAGAATGCACTTGCCTCCCTCCCAGAATGCACTTGCCTCCCTCCCAGAATGCACTCTGTTGAGATACTGCACCAGGAAGGCAGGGGTACTTTGTGCAATTCTAGAGGGTACAGAGGTTATGGGAGCTCAGAAGAGGAATGGGCCACACCCTTGGGTCCAGGAAGCCTTCTTCCTGGAGGATGCTGTGGTACCGACTGTCCAGTGGGGTAGGAAGGAGAAGTAGGAGGTGCTTCCAGTGAGTGGAAACCCCACAAAGTCCCCAGGATACTGACCTAAGATAGGCAGGCCCAGCCTGGAAGAGGAGGAAGATGTGTGAAGAGGTTATAGACGGGGAACCTGATTGGCCAGGACTCTGCCAGAGGCTAGCAGGAGCCACAGAAGGGCCTTGAGAAGCAGCGGCATTTTGCAGATTGCTGTCATATTTTCTGGTCCTGCATGGGAGTGCAGATTCAGAGACAACCCAGGGGCCACACCAAGGAAGAAAGATGCAGGGAGTGACTGGTGGGTGGGTCCAGGAACTCTACGGTGCGTCAGCATCCCTTGCAGCGATACTGCACCTAACATGCTACATACCAATTGCACATCCCTTCTGTCTCCTACTGAAGTGTGAGGGCGGAGCTCTCGGCCACCCCAGGGGTCCACCTGTCTCTCACCGTGTTGGGGTTACAGAGAGCACACACTGCTTTTATGTGAGTGCCAGGGATCCGCCCATTTCTCAAAGAGCCACTTGCTTGGCCTTGTGTTGTTACTTTTTAAAAATCTTCAGAGAAGCCCTGGGACACAGATGAAGCGACTGTCTAAGAAGCTACGGTAACACTGTTCCTTGTTGCCTGACTGGTGAGAACACCCTTGGTAACAACAGTGATGTCAAGAGTTGGTGGTCATAGTGGCACTAGAGCCCTGAAGATTCTCTGTGTACCAACATGGGGCCGGGCTGCCCATCACCCCATAATATCTCATTGACTGTTTCCAGGTCTCCCGACATCTCCCCAAGGCTAGGGCAGGTGGCCAGTGTCTCACTCACCCTGGCATTCCCGGGTACTCTGGTGGGTCAAGGTGCCTGGCGGACAGGCGGGCAGGCACTTCCCTTTGTATAGATGAAACCGCTTTTTGCACCGGATACAGAAGTCCTGGCTGAAACAGCTCTCGCATGTGGCCCCACATTCTGCAACAAAGCCAGAGACACCATAAGTCATGGGCCAGCCTGAGGAGGGAGGGTCTCTGTGCAGCCCACTGGGGTATGGACTCATCTTGTCGGCAGCTCAGACTTGGAAATTGATGAGCTGGGCTGCGTAGGAGAGGCCTTCCTGTCTAATCTAAACTGAGGTTGAGCACAGGAAGTGATACGCTAGGCATCACAGCCATTCTGGGCCGGGAGTGAAGCTCCCTTGCCCTTTACCCACAAGGCTCCGAGATCAGTGATGATCTGTCCTAGGTCACAGAGAAAATGGGAAAAAAAAGGCCAGGGCTGCTTTCCTACTAGAGCTAGGCCCGGAGGAGGTGAGTAACCTGCTAGCGGTCATGTAGAACCAAGGTAGAAGTGGAGGTTCGCTGCCCTGTTTGTGCTGAGACCTGCTGGTGTCTTCTTAGAGCTCACGGAGAGGAGACGACCTGGCCTGGGACTGCCGGGTTGGCTAAAACCAGCAAGCTTGGGCTTGGGCATGCTTCTGCTTCCTCCCAGGGTATGTGTGGGGAGAGGGTGGAATACAGGGTAGCTCTACCTAAGCTTGCCTACATGGGAGAAGACACGTACTCTTGCACCTGTTGGCCTCCTGGCCACGGATTCCGAAGAAGCTGAGGGGACAGTCGTGCACACACTTGCCATACTGGCGGATCCCTTCCCGGCGGATGAACAGGAAGAGCCTCTGCTGGCAGGCGGAACAGCCATTCTCATCCGAGCATATGACACAGCCCGTGCAGTTGGCCCCCAGACCGGTGCCTGCTGCAGACAGACCAGACAGGAGAAAGATAGCCAAAATCATATGTGAGCTACTTAGATGGACTCATGGGCTATTAACTGGATGCAATAGAAGACAACATTTCCAAGCATCTCTGACTACTAGATATCATGTGATCAAAATCTGGTGAACGGGACATTTACAGACTGCTGAGAGCACAGAAATCAATGTCTACTTTGCTCAGACACTGCTACCTGGACTTTTCGATTGCAGACACATTTACTCTTTACTAAAACAGCATGCGTGTGTGTGTGTGTGTGTGTGTGTGTGTGTGTAAATTGCACACATGGGGACGGGTGAGACCATCACCTTCTTTCTCAGTTCCTGAACAATACTCCAGTCTCCGCTGTCCCCATTACAAAAGCTCCTGTCACCATTGGGTTCAGGAAGTCAAGGGGAGGAAGGATGAAGGATGAAGGGAGAAGATGAGCAATAGTTTGGAGTGGAGTCTTCATGCCCAGCTCTGCTGCCAGCCCTTCCTTGTACCTCTTTGAGCAGAGGAACCTGGGGGAGGGAGGCAGAGAATGGCAGCAGAAAGCCCCCAGACTTTATGGCAAGTGTGAGGAGCTTGCTGCAAGGGATCCATGGCGTAGCCAGGCCATAGGGTCTGCTTATGTCTTGCAGAGGCAGGTGCCCAGAAGAGAGGGAACAGTGGAGACCGCTGAGGATGGGCAGTGGGAAGAGTTGGGATTTGATCAGAAGGACAGTGAAGCTGCCCAGAGAGCACTGAATTGCTCTGTTTTCATACCTCATTGAGCTGAGACATTGGATGAGCTGGTTACCCCCTCTGGCTGACCCGAGGGCATGGGTCCTCAGAAGAGGACATCCTTGGCTCCCCACCTCCCAGCCCTTCTGTTCCCATCCGTGTGTATCTTCCTCACTGAGATACTTTTGAAGTATGAGGTGCCAGAACCTCCCTAGAGGGGCCACCCCTCCTCCTGTCAGCAGAGTAGTCCCCACAAAGCCTGGATGATATGTTATTCCTGGTACACAGTAAGGGGCACGTGGGAACATCCATGGTCTCTGCTTAGACTTGCTGGGTTTCTGCCTCTCTCTCCATCTCCCAACCCAGAAACCTGAGAGCCTTGCACCTCATCACCCTAGTTCTGTCACTTACACCGGAGGAGCTGGCTGATGTGGCCCCCACAGGGCCACACTGTAACAGATGTGTACCCCATGACACACCCTGGGTACCAGGCAAGTGCCAGTACCCTCAGTGCACTTGCTCCAGGAAAAGAATGTGCAGAATTGGGACAGAGGAATAAAGACTTAGGGTTTCCAAAGCTGCAGGCAGCTGACACCCAAGAGAAAGCGTGAAACTACCAGAGGGCCCCAGACTAGAGAGAGCAACACTACCAGACCCAGATGGAGCCAGGTTCCCCCAGTCAGCAAAACCTGCTTGGCTTAGATGACGCTTAAGACAGACAGGAACGAAAGGAAACTTCTCCCTCTGCTGGTGTAAGCCCTGGAAAGAAGCCTAGCAGTATCCAGTAAATCTGAAGACATGCCTTCTCATACCCAATAGTTCAACACCTGACCTCCACTCCAGAATGGCTCTGTGATTAGTTGCCATGGTGATGTTGAGGCAAGATAGAGAAAAACATGGGGACGTGAGACGGGAAAGGAGCCCCACACTCTGCAGACTCACCAGCAGAGAAACACCGATCTCAATACAATCACCAGCATCTACCTTTTCTCCTTCCAGCTAGAAACCTGAAAATTTCTAGGACCTTGAGCAGCTCCAGTGGCTCGTGGTTTTATCAGATTATAATTCCACCCAAGACACCCCAGAGACACCCCCAGAAACTCAATGATCATCAATGATCAGGAGAGTAAATAGACATAGGGAGGGTCAGGTACCTTGTGAACCCACTCAGCAGGGACTAGGGAGATGGCTTAATGGACAAGAGCACAAGCAAGGACTTGCTGACAGTATCGAAGAAAGAGAATCTGAAGTCCAATCTTCAGCACCACATAGGAGCCAGGACTAGCCAAGTAGCTCCAGCACTGAACGGTGGCAACAGGTGGATTCAGGAGCCTGATGGGCAGCCAGCCTAGCCAATGAGAGCTCCAAGTTCAGTGAGAGGCCCTGTCTTGAAGAGACAAAATGGAAGGCAGTAGAGGAAGAGACTCGATGTCCTCTTATGTGCCTCTCTCTCTCTCTCTCTCTCTCTCTCTCTCTCTCTCTCTCTCTCTCTCTCTCACACACACACACACACACACACACACACACACAGAGAGAGAGAGAGAGAGAGAGAGAGAGAGAGAGAGCGAGCAATCAGTTTTCAAAAGCTCTCAAAGTCCTTTACACTGTCACCATTAGGACACTTCAGTGTGCTTTTTTTTAAAGAAGCACCCCACCTCACAGTGCTCTTGGGTGTGTCCTAAGCTTTCTCTGAGCCCCTTTCTATTTCTAACAAACTCCAGTTCCACTCCATGCTAGACTTCCCTGAAATGCTTCTCTGTGTTGAAGTAAAGGGACTGGTTTTATCAGAGTTGAGATTAAAGGAACTTCTCAACGCTCCACGGGTGATTTAGGGAGCTGTCCCTCCATCCCCTAGTAGATACAGGAACAACTGTCAGGGAGGAGAGGTTTATCTGAGCCCAAAGTTTTAAAGCAGATCCATCACTGATGGCAGAGAAGCCACGGAGGAGCAGGGAGTTCATGGCTGTGGGGGCACATGGCGGAGGCTGCTCCCATCACAGTGGGTCAGGATGCACAGAGTGGGAGAGGAGTGGGGAAGATTTCCAAAGGCTGTCTTTAGTGACAGACTTCTACCATGCGGTCCCCACATCCTGACAGTTCCAGCCTCTCAAAATAGTTTCCCCAGCTAGGGAGCACCATTCAAAACACCAAGCTGGGAGAGCCATTTCAGATCCAAATCATTACAGGAGGTCTAGGGTAAGAATCTACCAGGTGATCTGTCACTGCCCATCACAGACTCACTCGGGAAACCACAAAGCTGAGAAACTCTTACATATCTGCGCCAAGAGACCCTGACAGTGATGCTTACTGCGGCGCGGCTTAATAGCACAGTCACAAAAGAGAACCCACTTTGGGGAGGACGGATAAATACGTGGTGGTGTAGTCATACGCCACAGCCGTGCACCACACACACAGCACGGCCATGATAAACGGCTGAGGCAGGGTCGGTTATCATTGCGGACGCAGCTCAAAGCCAACGCTGAGAAGAAAGAGCAAGTCGTGTGGATGAGTCACGTACAAGTTACCATCTGAGTTCAACAGCAGAACCATAATCTGTCGCCCTGCCTATACACGAGGCATCCGAAGAATGAGAGACATATAAGGGTGCATGCACATCTAATTCAGTATGGGGGTACTCAAGTGCAGATGTGGGAGAGGCCATGGGAAAGAAGACTTGAGACCTCATTTGTTTTTTAACTTCCTAAAATTTGATGCAAACATGTACATAGAAAGAACTGGTCAAACTGGTCAAACTGGCTGATGAGGGTGGGTGGGTGGGAAGACGGCTAGGCCAGTAAAGTGCTTGCTACGAAAGCAGGACGCCCCGAGTTCTGATCTCCAGCACCCACACAAAAAAAGCCAGTTAGTGTAGAGTGTGGCTATAATTCCAGTGCCAGGGACGTAGAGGCAGGAGGATTCCCTGGAGCTTGCTGGCCAGTCAGTCTAGCCAAATTCGAGAGCTCTGGGTTCAGCAAGAGACCCTGACCAAAACAAACAAACAGGGTAGAGACCGAATTGAGGAATTGACACCCAGTGTTGACCTCTGGCCTCCACATGGCCATGCACACCTGTGCCTGTTACACAAACATACACATACACACTGGGGTATTTATTACATTAACTTTTATTTTTTAGTACAGACTTGAAACAGTTCAAAACAAAAACCCATTTAAAGAAAAAGAAACTTAGCTTCTCTGCTGTACAAGAGTATGGAAGGGCTGCATTTTTTCCCTCAAGATTATTTTGTTATTTTGTGGGCGTCAACATTTTGCCTGCATGTATGTTTGTGCATCATGTGCATGCCACCGACGTCAGAAGAGGACATCGGGTTCCCTGGGACTCGAGTTAACAGTTGTGAGCCTGCCACATGGGTCCTGGGAACTGAGCCAGGGACCCCTAAAAGAGTAGCCTTAATCTTAATCACTGAGCCATCCCTAGTCCCATAAAGATGTGTTCTTAATTCCCCCTTTCTTCCAGATCCCCTTCCTAAGCCCCATTCTGCCCTCAGGTTTAGGTCATGGGTAGGGAAGGAAACAGATTCCAGAGCTGGGGGGTTTGGGAGCAGTGGAGACCCACCCACCCCCAGGCTCTCCGCTAGTCACCTCCTGCATCTGCTCTCCTTGTCTTCAGGAACGGACCCCTGATGTTTAGCACGATTTGTCTCAGAAATTACATTGCTCAGACCCTCTTGCACTGCTAAGCGGTCCCATGTCTAACCGTGGTCAGTGAGATGGGAGTGGGCGTGTCATGGGCCATGCCCAGGAAGGGTCCACATTGCTCTTCTCTCCTCTGTCCTCCCTGTTAGGGTTTCAGTTTTGATGGCAGGAGCTTTGGCTGCTCCCTGTGGCAGAGGAATCTTGAGAAAGGCACTGGTACAGCCACCACATGAACCCAGGGCTGTAATGGGAGGAGGAGAAAATCTCATACACTGTTGGGAGCAGTGAGACCCCAGATCCTGATCCCCTGATCTGAGTGCCTACAGCTGCTCTGAGCACGAGACCTTCAGGAGTTCCCGATGGCAGGAGAGTGGTTTCTGGTGGGTTTGGCCGGGGCGTGGCTATCTCTATATAATCTGCCCCCTGAACACAATAAAGGGGGCATTCTTGGGGAATTCAAGGATGACCCGTGTCGCTGTCTCTCTGTCTGTGTGTGTTTGTGTATTTTAATCTCCAGCCCCCTTGCCCGAAGCTCGCGAACTGGGTGCGAGCGCACAGAGCGCAGACACAGGGCAATACACCTGGTTTAGGTCACGGCCTTGCCCAGGCACCAAGGCTTTCG